TTATCAAGCCTACTGCATGCAGTAACGTATCTGCTATTATATGTTATTGGCAAAACGATAAACATCGCTTGCCATTTATTAAAAATAATCTTCATTAGGCTAGATACATAACATACCATCTCTTACAAGTTATAGAGTTATAGAAATACACTACTTCTACTTTGTAGTGACCGCCTTCAACACCTGAAGTTTATGTCACTTCGACTACGCTTGGCTTAGAGGAACAATATTTACAGTAAAAGAAAAGAATTTTGATATATTTTTTAAATCAAAAGCGATTTAACTATGTTTTCATAGTTAATAACACATTTTTATTTTGAACGACTCAACAGAGTCGCTCATCACAGTGCTCAGAGGAAGGCTGTTCCAGGTTTTAATAGTCAGTGGGGAAAAAATGGTTGTCGGATTTGAGTTCTGCAAGATGGAATTTGATAACAGAGCGAGTGTGTGTCTGTCTAAGAGGTTGTATTTATCTATTTGTTTTTGTGGTGGCAATTAGTTGGTATGATAGTTTATAGAACATGACAAGGCGGGCATCTGTTATCCTGTGTACTAGGTCTCCATTTTAGATTATTTAACATGTCACCAACTCTTGAGAGGTTTCTGTGACGGTTAGTGACAAATCTAGCGGCTAGATTGTCATCGTAATTTATCATGTCAATTATCAAACTACGGTAGATACAATATTGAGTTACTACCTGTATTGTTTTAAACGTTGTGATAAAGGATTGCTGCACAGGTTTACATTGATTCTAGAACGATAATTGTATTTTTTTGTTGTCTCGTGTGAACTTCTTGATATACCTATATCCCCTTGTCACTTGTGGTCTGTACGAATGTTATATTGCTTGATTATTTAACCTATCAAATACATGATATCGATCCGTTAAAATAACAGTACGGTAATATAACATGACACACACACATAAAATGTCCCCTGTGTAAAAAACTAAGAAGTTAAAAATAGATTACTTCTTATGTTCGAGACTGCCGGTTGTGTTTATACACAGTCGGGCTCACGTTAGTTTGACCCCCTGTGAACTTTGATAAGAACTATTATGGAGGAGCCGCATCACGCAAGCACTTGCTTTATTCGTGCGCAGAAAAAAAGTAGTCTGTGTTTTGTAGTCAAAATGGAGGACTACAACTGATAAATACATGATTTGATTATCCCTACACATGTTATTGTACTACATTTAGTTCGTATAATTGATTGAATAGCTCATATTAACAAGAAATGTCAACCGGGATACAGAGTTAATTTCCCCTCGTAGCCGTAATGAAATTCAGAGCCGAGTAAGAATATATATAAGCTGAGTTTCGGTTCATGGACGTAGATTATATCATTTACGAAGAGGAAAAGTGTTTATCCAAGAAATTCAGTTCGTAGATCATCACGTTTTCACCACTTTATAATTTCTTGAGGCCATGGGCAATGCTGCTGCATCAAAAAAGGGAGATTCTGCAGAAAGTGGTAGGTTTTGGTCGGTTCGTAATGCCACATATGAGTAAAGATGTTGACGGACCATCGACTATTTGTCGATCGCTAGGTGAATTACATTACCAAACATGTGAATATTCTCATGGTTATTAGGGCTCGTGTTTTTTCAGCTGGGCATTATTAATCGTTATTATTATGAATGAAAAGGTGCTCTTAAAACGGCCAATTTTGTACGTGATCAAACGATGGCATAGATTCTCTCCCTCATTAATTATGATAATCAAACGTCATTTACTTTGCTAAAATACACGAGAGTCTGTGTTGCTTAGGAAATAAATCAATGTAGGCGAGTGAAAGTTTGTGAATTGTTCTTGAAACATCCGTTTACAGATTCGACATAACGCATATATAAAGTCATGACAGTCTTGAAATAAAATGAAGCAGTAATATTCCTGTTTCACGTGTTGACATGCCTTGTAACAATTCAATACTGGTACAGTATACAGTACTCGCAGTTGAATTAGAGATGGGTTAGAAATAAAATGTTTTAACCTAACATTCAATCCTGTTGCTAAGGGGGAAATTATCTTATTTACAATTTCCTATGATTTTCCCAGTAACAAATGTTTATTGGTAATTATCAATAATTTGTGGTTATCCATATTACAACAATATAAAGTATATTAGTAATTAATTGATTTGTGTCGTAATTATTTTCACTGGAATGAAAAAAAACATTAGCTGTACATCTAATATAGAAATAATTATGAATTTGATATATGCCAGAAGATATTTTTTGTGACAACATTGCATATCATATTTAATAAAAAAAAAATAAACCGTCATGTTCATGCTTAACATTACTGTATGCATAATTGCAATGACTTGCATTGCCCATGATAATTATAAGATTATGACATTATTATGACATATTTTGTCAACATGTTACCAAACAAGGTCCATTTATCAATATCAAAGCATGGCACCAAATAAATAATATCCTGTGTGCATACAATGTACTGTGTATGTCATCAAAATCAAATCCAGGATTCAGTATTTAATATATATCTTTAATTTGATTTAATCCACGGATTGTAAAATGTTTATACTGCATGTTGTACAGTATACAAGTAAATGTATTACAGCATCATTTTTTTTAAGAACGAGTCACAACTGATGGGGTAACACTTATTTAAGGTTGTCAAATAAACTTAAAAATTATGTTTATTATTACCAAGTTTACACTGTGTATTTGTCATGTGTATGTACAACTCTTTGTTACTACTCCTGTTTATCTGTGTAAACCACAGGTACATTCATTTGTCCTACACATACTTTGAGCTCTACTTATATTACTACTTGTGTTTATCTTATTTTACCCGAGATCACATTGCCAGTGTCTTGCCAGTGTCATTTCATGCTATATCTGGAACATTTATATATATGCTTCTGAAGGCCACAAATACACATTTAATTCCTGATGTTAGTGAAGAGACCCTGTTACTAGTACATTAAGGGAGTCAGGCTCATTCAAGCAAATACATTTCAGTTCATTTCTTAAAATAGGTGTATATAAAAAGAAATGCAAATAAGTTACTGGAGTGAATTTGAGTTCTGTTACTATACGTATACCTGGAAATACACTACCAGGGGTAATATTTATATGACTAACATGACACATGCATGCATGGGTGGTCCCTATATTGTCATATTAATGTCCAATATCAGAATGAGATATTTTGGGGTCTTCACTTTTATTTATATAGTACACCTGACATGACATATCATTGATTAGCTGTTAATTTTATAACATCAATAAATGAATTTCTGTAGTATGTATATAATAGACCTGCAGCTGTCATGAATAAATTCAACAACCTGAGACGATCACTTGGATCGTAGAGTTGAATAGGTTTTACACATTTAGATGAGAGATGCATCCTGGTATGATATGCAATTAACAAGTTTACAATGCACAACAAAATGTTAAATTGTATGTCTAATTCAGATATCTGTTTTGATCTTGGACACATTATTATAGGTCTGATGAACTTGATACCATAAGTAGAAGTACATGTACACTTATCAGCTATGTTTATATAATTGAAGTGACAATTTGCTGATTTTTTATAGACCTAGCTTTCTTTTTTTTTTTTGCTGATGACCAGAAGTTGGCTGTAGTTAATTGATTGAAATGAACTTTTTATGGACATTCCATCATTAAAATTAAATATGCTATATACTGTATGTATTTGGGTGTTTCGGTTAAAGTACAGCCGCTTCCTTCTAACTCGGCTTGGGATTTTTTTCTTCAGCACATTCATTAGAGCTTCATTCTAGTAAATCAGAGGTCCTGTATATGATCCCTAGCCAATAACGACCTTTAGTACATTGTTTCCTATATGGTTCCTACATGTGAGGACCCGGAAATTTTTGGCAAAAATAGTTAACCGTACTTTCACAAGCATCTTTGTTACACCTTGAAATGCAAGGGACAAGTTCTTTCTTTGAGGGGGGGTATGTGTATACCACTGTATGTTGACCCTTTTAAAATACTAGCTGCTTCCTACTATACCAATCCCTAGCAGAGGCATGAGAAACAATAAAGACTTGTGTTAAATATATATAAGTAATACAATATATATGTGTAGTTTGTCTCTTTGGTCCTGATATGTGTGCTAGTTATAGCTATAGACACACTAATAATACGTCCTACCTCATTTCTTTGTTACTAAGATAGGAGTGTTTCCTCTGCTGTGATGTGGTTTCTTTAATCACTTGCCACTCTGGCTACAGATAAGTAACTTTTACCTGTACTTTGTAAGAAATCACAGATAAGTAACTTTTACCTGTACTTTGTAAGAAATCACAGATAAGTAACTTTTATGGTAGACATCACATGGACATATCAATTGATCTGCCTAGAATCCTCCTCAATCAGGTCCTTTCTGATGGCTTTTAGCATCTTTGTGAAGTATTTCCGTTTTCCAATGACTTTATTCACATGTACCACTTAAATAGATAAAGCTCGATTTTGGAAGATCATGAATGAGATTTGAAATACTTTGGTTGGTATTTGATGAGGATTTCTTCAGAAAATTTAAAGGTTTCTGAAGGCATACACTTATACAAATACACTCTGGCTGTAATGACTTAACTTGTATGTGAACATTCATATATCTTTGTCCTGTCAAGCACTAAGTAATTAAACTTGACATGTCCATAAAGGGGTTTTTGAGAAACCCACTTACCATTATGTAGTACTACAAATAATATAATTAGTAGAAAGGGAACATTACAGTATAACAACTGTTAAATATGTTCCATTACTGTATTTTAAAAAGAACAGTTATGGTAAAGAGGATATAAATTACAGCACAATTCATTTGGAATAAACACTGCATGATTCATATTATAAAATTGATTTATATGTCAATTATTCTATCTTTAATCAGCATCGAAAAATATGTAATTAAGATTAGAATTAAAATTAAAATGTCAACTAGTCTGCATATTGATAATAGTACATTATTTCAATGGTATTTTTTCTTCTTTTTAGTCAAGGAATTCCTAACCAAAGCCAAAGAAGATTTTACGCACAAATGGGATCACCCTCAACAGGTAATTATTATAATTAGGAGCTGTTGGAGAACCTGGTATACAAGCATGGAAATTATAAAGGACACTGATGTTTTTCCATTATTTTCATTTCCAAGCATGAAAATTATAAAGGACTCTGATGTTTATCCATTATTTTCATTTTCAAGCATGACTCTGATCCATTATTTTCAAGGATTTCATCCAAACTATGTAAAAGCACCTTGGTTCTAGTGAATACCAAGCTTTAAGCACTAACACTGTTGTACATGTAGGCGTGGGGATCTTGCTGCTCAGATTCGTACATGTTAGCACATATGTACCGGTATATCTATGTGGACATAACACAATCACGACGGCACATTTAAACTTCCATGCAAATTCCTTGCATGATGTTTTCCACTTCAAAAACTAGCTTCCAGCAGATTTGAATGTCAATATATACATGTATCTACGGTATTCCAATTCACTACAGTTGTTTTAAAAGTGTATAAATATACATATATGTACAGTAAGTGGTATACTTATCAGGTGCAGCAATGTTGACAACTATTTAAAGCATTTCATTGTATATACACAGTAAAATATTTAAAAAATATATATATTAAGACAGATTTATATGGATATGGTGCACATATACGATTGACAATAAAGAATTTGCCAATTTCATTTTGTAAACTACTTCCAAATTCACCATACTTAGCACCCTTCCCCTTAAAAGTGCCCCACTACCTTATATGGAAAGAAATGAAATTTGTATACCCCTCCCAATCCTGACCTAGTCCTGTTAATGATTTACAGTATTTACTCTATAAAGTAGAGATTTAAGACTGGACTGGACTTCTCTGTGAAGAGGATGACAATTTCTAAAACCTCCAGTCTGGAATGATTAGAATGTAGTTAAATTGCACAGCTATTTCTGTTATAGCTCACTTTCTATTATCCTAATTAATTAGCACATCCCTATCCCCCCNCCCCTGCCACTTGCCCTGGGTTTTTTATTATGGCAAATACGGTACAGGTTTATGTTTTTCTGGTAAATATGCATATTCATATTATTGATAAGTTTACCGGTACTTTATATTTAAAGCTTTTGATGATGCACATTTTCAAGCTTTTCAGAATTTAAAGAATGATTTGTTTCTGTCCATCACTATAGGGATCACCTAATAGGTACCTTTACAGTGTATGTCTACATGTAGTACAGTGTCAACATTACAAAAGGCAAGCTAAGTCCTCCAGTCGAGATATCAATAAAATGCTTGAAACTTGAGGCATTGTGAGGGAATTGTATAAGCCAAACCAACATAATTGTCACAATTGTTTATAACATAATAAGTCTTGGCTAGTATACGTAATTTATTTGTTTACCGAGTAAATTGGCAAGGTCATTTACAAAAACATGTTCGTATTGTCATTATTAAATTATACCACTAGCTTGTAAGGTTTATACTTTTATCTCTGCTGACAATAACAAAAATTTTTGTTTCTTGGAGATAAATGTGAATGATTCTTTAATTACTTTCTGTCCTGCATACTGTATAAATATGCTATATATATATATATATATATCTTTTCTGAATAGCATTTTGAATAATGGATTGGATATTTATGTGCTAATATAATAGTCCAATCATTATTTTACATTTAGACTGTTATATGTTAAGTATATATAGAAGCAGTTAATTTATTAATTTCATGTTATGATCTATAAATACCTCCATTTATCTGGTGATAAAAGGATAATTAATCCTGCTAATTATGTATAAAAAGGCCATCGCTGTAGAGCAAGCAATTTTCTATAAAAGTGCCCCTGTTGTAGAGCAAGCCATTTTCTATAAAAGTGCCCCTGTTGTAGAGCAAGCCATTTTCTATAAAAGTGCCCCTGTTGTAGAGCAAGCCATTTTCTATAAAAGTGCCCCTGTTGTAGAGCAAGCCATTTTCTATAAAAGTGCCCCTGTTGTAGAGCAAGCCATTTTCTATAAAAGTGCCCCTGTTGTAGAGCAAGCCATTTTCTATAAAAGTGCCCCTGTTGTAGAGCAAGCCATTTTCTATAAAAGTGCCCCTGTTGTAGAGCAAGCCATTTTCTATAAAAGTGCCCCTGTTGTAGAGCAAGCCATTTTCTATAAAAGTGCCCCTGTTGTAGAGCAAGCCATTTTCTATAAAAGTGCCCCTGCTGTAGAGCCTGTACAGACAAATTAATCTAGATCTGCTAATTCTGTACAAAAAATAAATAATCCATGTTATGGTTCCTGTTCTTCTGATCATAATTCATTGATTTGAATGCAGGAATATCTGTATATAAAAGGCTCATCACTGACTATGAAAAGTTTTGTATTTTAGATACAGAATTTCTCTGATGCAATATACTAATTTGTGCAAATTATACACAAACCACCTTGCTATATATATAACCAGAACGCTAGTACTCAAGTAAACTACAGATATGATTTATTTTTTTGTAAATGTGTTAACATCATATTATATTATGCATGTTTCCTATATATACAGCCCTCTATATAAAGGAAGATGATACCTATACAGAGTAAAATGTGTATAAAATCATTATGAGGGCCCCGTATTTGAGATACGGGTGCCCTATACATGTAGTAATCACTCTGTCTGTCTGTCTGTCTGTCTGTCCGTCCGTCCACAAATTTTGTTCCTGGCTGATAACTTTGGTATTTATTGACCGATGTACATGAAACTTGGTCAAAATGTTAAGTTCACAAAAATACACATTGAGGTAAAAAGTCAAGGTCAAAGGTCAAGGTCATTAGGTTCAAAGGTCAGGGTCAAATTTTACATTTTTTCCCTGATGAACATTTTGTTATGACATTATGAAGCAAAGTTGATCAGAATTAAACAAGGAGTCAACTGACCAAAGGTCAAGGTCATCGGGTCAGGGGTCAAGGTCAAATTATGCACCTTTTCACTGATGAACATTTTGCTATGACATGATGAAGCAAAGTTGATCAGAATTAAACAAGGGGTCAACTGACCAAAGGTTAAGGTCATTGGGTCAAAGGTCAAGGTTAAATTTTGTATCTTTTCACTGGTGAACATTTCGCTATGACACTTTGAAACAATGTAGCTCAGATTAAACAAGGAGTCAATTGACCAAAGGTGAAGGTTAAATTTTGTATCTTTTCCTTGATGAACATTTTGTTATGACATATGAAGCAATGTTGTTCAGAACTTAACACAGAGTCAACTGACCTTAGGTCCAGGTTACGGGTTTCAAAGGGTCAAGGTCAAGTTTTGTATTTTCACTGATGAACATTTAGTTATGATATTAAGGAGCAAAGTTGGTCAGAATTAAATAATAAGTCAACTGACCAAAAATCACGGTCACTGGGTTAATGGTCAAGGTCATTTGGGTCCAAAGGTCAAAGACAAAGTGGATCTCTGACTTTGACCCTGGCTCTTGATGGAGGAGGTATATAAGGTTAAATAAAACAAATCAAAGCTAACAAATGAGTATTGCACCGGTATTTACATTTCTGTTAGCCCAGCAAATATAGAAGTGGAAGGAAACAAGACTCACATCATAGTACATGTTAAATGTATATTTTGCTTCCTTGCGATTCTTTTTGAAGTGCACTATCAAACGTCAAGCTCAGCTATATGGGCAGATTGCTTCTTGATGATTATGGGGGATATATTGCCACAAGACGGGGCCCTTACTGACCTGTCAGTGTTCTAGTGTTATTGTTATAACTAAAAGAGTGTTGATAAAAATACTTCTTATCATTCAAATCATAATATAAAGGTGATTTAATTATTAATGTTTAAAACAATAGATATATTATTTTTATACCATATTCAAAATTGAATTTGGTGTACAAATGTATTTTTATACCATATTGTCATGTCTTTTTTGAGATAGAAATATTAATATAATATTAAAACATCCTTTTTTTAACTCGCTTCAATATTAATGTATTTCATGGTTTGTAATATTGCATCAAATGTCATGTACTACCTACCTAACACTGTATATGGATAATTTTCAGATGTGAAAAATCAAATTTAATGTCCGGTGGTTTTATGTACGTGTGTACATTAAAAAAAATGGACTTAATAGCCAGATGTTCTTGCATGTGTTCAAAAGTTCTCCATGACATTGTTGTGCATACCTATTTAAATGGTCAGGCCATAGTTCCATTTTGTTTTCAAATTCCTAAACACCAAAATTGTGTATTACTCATGGCTAACAAACAGACTGCATGTATAATAGCAGGTAGGCTTTAGTCAGGTTGTACTTTTATTTGTGTATCCGGCTCGTTATTTAAATGAACTGGCTACACCCTAAACTTGCATTGTTCAGAATGTCCGATACAGACCCCCCCCCCCCCCCAAAAAAGTTTAAATATGTTGTAACTAATATGTGTTATTTTTCTTCACAGAACACAGCCTGCCTTGATGACTTTGACCGAATAAAGACCCTAGGGACAGGGTCATTTGGTCGGGTCATGTTGGTGCAACATAAGCAAAACAGGGAATTCTATGCCATGAAAATCTTAGACAAACAAAAGGTAGACTTTTTCATGATTAAACATCATTTGGCTTTTAAATGAGTTAACAGATCAGTTGTTTTCTTATTTATTTGAAATATACATCAAGTGAACTGTACATTTAAACCTGGTGTGAAATTGTTCACAATGCTATTTAAAAGCTTCTTCTCCAAACAATGTTTCTTGATCGTGAATTACAAGGTGGTGAATTTTATTTGAATATGTAATAAATATACATTATGACCGCCAGGCACTGTAATTCATATGTAGCATCAATAAATTTGATAAAACGGAAAGTGGTAAATGTTCAGAGAAATAAAAGGAAAACATCTGTCAATGTAAGAAATTACATACATTACAAACCTGAAACTGATGGATCCTCCCACTCATAAATGTTACAGCTGTAACTTAGAGCTAAATAATTCAGGAAGTAAGGATTTAACGTTTTATTGTGCCTGTAACTTATTTCATTATATTCTAGTATGACTGTGTACATATGAAAACTTGCCTTAACAACAAAATAATAGCCATGCCTTGTAATTTTTTTTCCACTTAGGTTGTGAAATTAAAACAAGTAGAGCATACCTTGAATGAAAAGAGGATTTTGCAAGCCATCAATTTTCCATTCCTTGTTAGTTTAGAATATCATTTCAAGGTAAGTCCAACTGCTCTACCAAACCTTTGTAATAGCCATACAATTGTAATAGCCATACAATTGTAATAGCCAAACCTTTGTAATAGCCATACAATTGTAATAGCCATACATTTGTAATAGCCATACATTTGGGTCAAACAGATGATATTATATACGTATTGTTCATGTAGGCCTGCTGATACAGAAAATATATGTTACCTCAGATAAATATTTGTCAATGTTGATTTGACGATAATAGTACACTACATTGTATTTGAAAGTGTCCCATTATATATACATGTATATTAAGTATATTGAATTATAAAAGAACTTCACAGTGCTCTCAACCTTGTTGACTAAGTTGAGATTTTGTTCATGGTCAAAAAGTCCAAGTATTACCATAATATAGAATTTTAAAATTAGCTATGAATCAATCAAATGAAGTTTTTGTTAAGAGAAGTTAAGGCTGAATTGTCCCATTATTAACTTCTCATGCATTGATGATTGTTCCTAATTTTAAAGTGAGAGAACAATGTGTCTGATCTTTAATTATATAGAAGTGGTAGATAATTATGCTAGCTCTCCAATGGAGAACTGAATTTGTCTGATCTTAATGTGGTGGATAATTTTGCCTGATCTTAAATTAATGGATAAATTGCTTGATCTCAAATTAAAGCCAGGTATAATCAGACCAGATCTTATATTGATAGATAATTTGTCCTGGTCTTCTACTGTAATGGTTATCCACCTAAATGACAGTTACTCTTCAAGTTATTTTTACTAACCTTTTGAATTGTCTGTTTTATCTGCAGGACAACTCAAATTTGTATATGGTGTTGGAGTTTGTAACAGGTGGAGAAATGTTTTCACATCTCAGGAGGATAGGAAGATTCAGGTATGTAAATCAGTACTGCAAATGGCTCCTGCTTTAAAACAAAATGGAAAACCTATCCTGGAAAAGAAATCAATTGATGTGGTTCTATTAACTTCGAGTTAATAGAACCACAAGGTTAATTGTTAAAACCAGAATACTCCAGAAATAACCTGCATAGAAATAAATTGTGGGCGTGAGTGTGAAAATAGCTAATCTTCGTAATTGTTTAATGCGCACAGCTTCTAAAATGAAGTACAAATGGGGAGATCAATAATAGGTTTTACCATGATAACATTTGTGTATCAGTTATCTTGTTCTAAAGATCAAGTTTGAGTCCATCATCAGGATGGTTATAAACATTAGGAGAATTTAACTTTGAAAGAAATTAGAGAATTTATTGTATACGATATTTTGTTTAATTGATTTGCAACTAGAGCTGTATTCCTGGCATGTGTTTGAAAAACATAAATTTGTCAAACTGAGAAAACAATGTCGTGATATCTCAATCAGATTAAAACATGTAGAAAAATCAAGAAATGTTGAAATATTAACCGTGAGCTAGACATCTGAACTGTAATATTTGTTGCAGGATTTTAGCTAACGTACACAATCAGAAAAAAGAAATCAAAATATAAATGCTTGACATCTGAATTCTAATAACATTCATATCGGCATTAATTCAATCGCACAAAAGTGGCAGGTTTTTGATTAAGTGTAGTTTATAGTTTTTACACGGGAGATTTCACATATCTAGGCAGTGAAAATAGAATGCAGATACCATCTGATTTCGAATGGTTTTAAAATTGGTCACATTATCATCATGGATAAATTGTTGCAATGATGAATCACAGTCACAGTAAACATTCATGAATACAGCTCTATTCAAAATATGGTTTTAAACCATTTTAACAAAGCAAGGGACAACAAGATTCTTTATATATTGTCACATTTAAAGGTTTATGCAGGGGTCACTTATATCTTTTAAAAACTTTCCAATTCTTCACAGGTTTATATTTTGTTTACTAAGTGAGCGCTGAATTGTATAAAACTTTTAATTTTCAGAAAGTCAAGCACATAACTAAGTTCACTGTTATCTTTTTCTGATCACATCTCACTTGATTCTCTCTGCTTTTCCTTCCTCCTATCTCACCTAACACACTTTTCCTCCTCTTGATATTGACAAAATTTATCAGCACAACAATAAATTTCCATTGATATGTAGTCTGCAGAATGTTTGCTGACCTGTGTGATTTTAATGAAATACATTAATTGAATTTATAAATAATGTCATTACTCAAAACTTGTGAAACAGGTGAAGTGGTATTTCCTCGGCAGGTTTCTATTAGCATTATTCTTCATTAGATTTCTATATAAAGCAGATGTCTTCGTTCTACAGAAAATATACTTAAATAATTCACAGTGTAATTTAAAAGAACTATAATAATAATAATATACAACATTTGATAATGCGCAGATATACAATTAATACAATTAGCATACTCATTAATCAATACAATTTTTGAGGAATTCGTAGTTGAGCTGCCATATCAGCCTATCAGGCGCTAACTACTAGTCCAATGCCACCTGGCTAATATCTCGCTATGTGTTCATGACTACTATATACCTGTGTGTGTGCTGGAAATGTAATGTAATGCCAAACTTTTTATCTCATTGTCAAGAACTACTTGGAAATCAATATACAGCCTTGCATCTGAAGTACTGCTCTCATATTGTAATTTTCTAATTTCTGACACCAGATATGTATAAATGCCAGGAAATGGAAAGACGCTGATGCTATTCATATTCTTAATGTGTCAATTTTGATGTGAACAAAATGAGTTCAGACTTTTTTAATCAGGGATGTACAATTAAGCCGGTTAAGCTTTGAAAATATAGATCGGGAATATTTCAAAAACGTAACGATGGACTGCTATTCTTAAGTTGAACTTGTACACTACTGATTAATCAATGTCAACAGCTTCCAAAGGAACACAGTGTACTCCAACTCTCTGTTGATTGTTCTCATGAATGTTACTTCCTGAAACTTTATATAGAGCAAATTGTGGACATGTGTTTATAAACATCATTATTGATTTCTGATCATTTTGGATGTGTCGTTGTGTTAACTGCCTTTACTCGCATCTCAAGTTTCAGATGTCAAATATTTGAAGAAATTAAATTAAAATTTAAATATAATATTTATAATAATAAATCAATGACTCGTGTACTAGGACATGTTTAATTGTGTTACATAAACACCACAATCTATAAAGAAGAAAGCAAGATCAATGTTGAATTTCTGACAATTGTACATCATCAAAGGAACTTTGTTTATCCATCTTTTCCAGCGAACATTTGCTGTCTCTGAATATCATGTCAAAAATTACTTACCCAAATATATAAAATTGTAATAACATTGAACCGTATTGTCAAGAAGAAAAGACTTCCAAAATGTTAAGCAAACTTGTATAAACTTGGCCAATAGGTTCCATTGGTCATTGTGTACAGTTGATGATATGACCCCAATCAGTAACACCTCCACTTTTGTCTTTCTTGGTAGAGTAGCTGACGCTCCTGTACTAACCATTAATGTGTTTTTTTTCCTACAGTGAGCCACATTCCCGGTTTTATGCAGCTCAAATAGTATTGGCATTTGAATATCTTCATTATTTGGATCTCATTTACCGAGATCTCAAGCCAGAGAATTTACTTATTGACACTCATGGCTATCTTAAAGTAAGTAACAGGTTTTGCCTCTCCTGATCAGGAATGACTATGTTTCCAACCTGTGGTATGTGTGATCCCTAACTCCCCGTGTCCCTCTAACCTTCACTACCCTAATATAGTTTGGTTTATGCATCATGTTGTTATAGAATGCTATACATTTGTATTGTGCATTTTTTTCTTTTTGACAGTGAGCCGCATTCCAGGTTTTATGCCGCACAAATAGTATTGGTCTTGGAATACTTACATAATTTGGATTGTATGTACCGTGATTTAAAACCAGAAAACCTACTCGTAGATACCCAAGGTTATCTGAAGGTACGGTGTGGTGTTGTTCTGAAACTGTAGGACTTGTTGCTATATTCTGACAGCAACTGTCTGTAGCTCTGACATACACCTTACCCTAGGCCAGGGTAAGCTTTCAGTGTGTGCTTTAACGTCCAGTGTCTGGTAAAAGGGTACTCAAATAAGGAACATGACTGGCTTACTTTGTGTCTTCAAACTTCATTTCTCACAGTTCTTGTCTTTATAGCAAGCTGGTAGCTAAACCTCAACTTTTGTGCTAGCTTTAATGTTTTGTAGCATGCTGACCTTTCGATTTCCTTACTTATTTGCTTCCTTGTTGTGTCTGGAGCATGTAGTTATTGCTTTAGTGCTTGTGCTTAATAGATAACACTGCATGTGCTGTGTGTATGTACCGTCATCTGTATTCAAACTCAGAATTATTTTGATTCCAAGGTGATGTCAACTATTTGCTGATTTTGTTGTAGCTTCAAAAAGTATTACTTCATTTGGCATTTGACAATTACAAAAAAATTACAACTTCAAAATAATTTAATATTTTGAGGTGCGTTACAGCTTCTGAATGAAAGTGTTATTTTAAGGGGAGTATAGCTTCAACATTAATGTTATTGTCTTGAGGGGAGTAAAGCTTCAAAAAGAATGTGTTTTGCCTTGAGCGGAGTATAGCTTCAAAAAAATGTTAATGTCTCGAGGGGAGTATAGCTTCAAAAAAATGTTAATGTCTCGAGGGGAGTATAGCTTCAAAAAAATGTTACTGTCTCGAGGGGAGTAAAGCTTCAAAAAATGTGATTGTCTTGAGAGGAGTTTAGCTTTAAAATGAATGTTATTGTCTGGAGGGGAGATAAGCTTCAAAATTAATGTTATTGTCTTGAGGGGAGTTAAGCTTCAAAATGAATGTTATTGTCTTGAGGGTACAGGAGTATAGCTTAAAAAATAATGTGTCATTGCACTTAGGGGAGAATAGCTTCAAAATGAATGTTATTGTCAAGAGGGGAGTAAAGCTTCAAAATTATTTTTTATGACCTTGAGAGAAAGAGGGCTTCACAGTAATGCTGTATTACCTTCAGGGGAGTATGGCTGTAAATGACTGTTATAACCTCAAGGAGAGTATGACTTCAAATGAATATGTTATTGGCTTGTGGGGAGTACATGTAAAGCATCAAAATAGATCTGATAATACCTTTAGGGAAGTATGGCTGATCATTGAAGTTATATTTTTCCAAAGCAGTTAATTGTATATCTCCATTACAAGTGGAAAGGTTCATTTTTCTGGTTTGTGTGCTTACCTGTTAAGGTTAAAAAGTCATAGGTAACTTGCGATAATAACGTTGTATAAAGAGAAGTTTTTATTGTGACAGGGGGGAAAGATATCAAATTCTGATAGGATTCCAGTTTCTGTTCACGGTTTTGATCAGTTTTATTATTTGACAATTATTTGAGATGAGGATATTCAATGTTGTTGCAAGCTGATTTGGTTATTGAGGGGGTGGATATACTGAGCTGAATGCCACAAATTTACATTATTACACTTTCTTCTTTCACCCTATATTCTCCATAGTATTTTGGTTCACAAGATGAATTATTGATGCTCCATGTGACTAGACTTACTGGAGCCATCACAGAACTACTGTCTTTATCTTGATTTAGCATCATTTTGTTTTCTCAGTAGTTATTGCTTACAAAGACTGCATATTTAATTCATTATTCTTGTAAAACCATCATGTAAACAGTTTGTCAGGAGACAATTACTTTAACGCTGGCATTATGATTATGATGTTTACATAATATATCAAAATAATTCAATATAGTCACGGTACTGCATTGTAGGTATAACCTTGGCTGCCTGCTGTTATTGAATTATAACACTGTGTCTGTCCTACGTCATTATGGTTATGTTGTTTGTCAAGGGATGGTTCCTGATAAATTGGGCCAGAAACCTTATTAACACCATAATGTACTTTTGATAACTGGGTATGTAAAATCTCAATAATACTCTGGCCTGTGGGTGGTCCTAGTATAAAGACCTGTTGACCTAATCTATCCCATACCCAGTGGAATTCTGCTCGCCCTGTTTTACTAGATCTGTTGTGTAGAACTTTCCATGCATGATCAAATACACGACATCAGAAATTTGATAGCTAACTTTAAATTGCATGTTAACAGTGCCTGCGTGCCCCTATACGTTCTACATCTAGTCTACACGTGTGCCTGCCCCTACCAACTCTGTCCCCATACCCTAGTTATATTCCCATCAGTAACAGACTTTCATACAGATAGTTAGCCTGCACAATACTCACAAAGGCTGTATGTGAATGTGTTTGTTGGTATTGTAACTATAAATAGCTTTTCCTTACTTTATATAGCATCTGTTGGAGCAATTTCAGTCCTAGTCCTTCATGTTATGTATTTGTAAACCCATTAAGGTGGTGTGGGCTGGCTGTAATGGTGACCAGCCAGGTGTGACAGTATTTCTACCTGTGCTTTACTGGTGGTGTGTATAAGGTGATTTGTACAGTTGACAGCACAACCTGCCTTCACAATGGTTAAAGAGAGCTTAATTCATACAACTCTTCAATGTAGCCAGGGGTATATATATACATGTATATATGATTATAAATACCTTTGCCAAACCCTAATCATGTACAATAAAATCCTGTTAGGCACAGGAGAAGCTGCTCATAACCTATTGATCTCCAGAACCTCCATGGCAACAGGCTGTTCTGGAGAGAATGTTGGCAAACATGGATTACCATGTTATAGCACAGGACACTGGAGTCCCCCACTAGGTTGTACCGACATGCTACCACATCTGACATGGCTGTAATCTCTGGCCTGCTGCAGCCTCAGGTGGACCATACCCATCTTCTATTTAGGGTCATCCATTGACATAGTGAAATAAAAGTTTACCCAGTACAGTCAGCCAATTTGTGTATTCAGAGGCAATTGATTGGATAGTATGCCAGAGGCCTATGTGGTTATTTATAGGCCGGCTCCATCAATCATAAATATATTCATGAATTACTCTCCTTGTAGATGTGTAGGGGTAATGTGTTTTCCGATAAACATGCCTGTGTTTTTGTTGTAATTGTATTGTTTTAGAACTATAGGTTGTATTATTTCTACTCCACCAAGAGTTGTGGCTGTGTATACTGTCTGAGTCCTGCTCTCAGGTTGGGACTTACTCTTCCAGTAATGCATGTGTCCCAAGCTATAAATACACAGTTGGCTGCAGGCCATTACCATTCCATTATTAGTACAAAGACAGATTTATAGGTTTACCAGGAGGTAGGTAGCGTCTTGTGTCCTCAACCTAGTCAGGGAACAACTTGCTACTTCTGTCATGGATACTACAGGATGTGATGTTGTTAAAATCACATTGTCTAATGGTGGAGGGTAGTGTCGGATGTGTAGTACAAATATCAATTCAGCCTTTCTAATCACCTTCAAAATGATATCCCTTGTTAAATAATATTATGTATAATATGTTAGTCTGGGTTATTATCCACTACTGTAGTCAGTATATTGAGGTCCCTTACTTTGGGCTATTCTCCAATACTGTAGTCAGTATATTGAGGTCCCCAGTAATCTTCTCCTGTGTCAAGTTAGGTTGTAGAGATTTAAATTGATGATTGTTTCAGCTGTGGGTGTTTTACTGTTACCAAGGCTTGTATATTATTCTCCGTCTGTATTAGACATTTGTTGTGTGGGAAAGTGTTACACCGCACCAAAGGACCGGTATTGATCGGAAATGGAGGTTCTTGGTTTCCTGGGTGACATGTCTCTCCATCTAGATTGGTAGATGTTGCTGATAGCTCAGTGTGTACACAGCAGCCTATTATTGATCCTCATGCTCCACCAGTTCGGTTAAAGGTACTCAATAACAACATTTCAAATTGTCTGCAAACATACTTTGTTCAGTTGAAATCTTGTTTATATGATCACTTGAGTAATGGACTAAAAATAGTTGAATATTGTGTATCTGTCTTAGTAAATGGAAGCCTACAACTGTGAATTGACTGGAATCAGATCAGGAAGTATTGCTGTAGTACTTTCACTGATTGGTACACACAATGTAGTTCACAGTTAATCTGGTTTTGTTCTCACTTTCAGTTGAAAATTATTTGATACCAGTTCAAATTTCAACTTTAAAGCAATAGATTTCTTATGCACTATCGGTAATGGATATTTGATAACAAGTCAAATTGCTGTAAACATTCCTTTCTCAAACATTTCATTTAACCGGCATTTAAAATACTATTCATTCTGACTTAGACGGGGTGATTAGAAACATAGAAAAAGTACAAAGTGTTGATTTCTATTAATTTGGTGTCTATTACATGGTTCGGCTCTAAACTGCTCTAAACTACGATGATGCGTACATTTAGGATATGAGGTTACACAGGTGTGGTATAGTAATGACTTTATGAGGTATTTATGGCTTAATAGACCGGTTCAAAAGTACCAATCATTTATAATCTAAAAGTAAATACAGACATCAATTGACGTTCATTTTATTGGCATTGTCAATACTCTAACTAACCACAAAAACTTTCAAAATTGATGAAAATTATAGTAAATAAATAAAAGGTGGCCAAAATTTGCCTTATTGACTTGCAGAAAATTATTATATTCCTATGTATACGTTAAGCATATGAATGTAATTAGGAAGGGGTCACACAGACCTGGTAAAATACATCAGTGACCTGGAGGGATCTATTTGTACTGGGAAGTACACCGATTTCCCTGTCTGTTTTATGTCTGTTTATATTTGGCTAATTCTGCATGCTGAGAAAGAATTTACCCGATGTGTGAATCAAATGGCGTTTCTGTTGTATTTGTTTTAAAAAAGCTGCACTGTTCGTTGTTGATGTTGGTTTGTATTGTTTTATTTCACCGCTCGTTGCAGCGTTTTGTCAAATGGAATGTGAAAACATCCCATGTTGCACTTTTTTCCTGCATTTATAAAAAGAGCTGGCACATTCACCGGCTATGTGTGTGAAGGCCGATTGGCCAGCACTACATTGTACATCATGTACTGGGAAATAGCTGCCAGGCCCACCAGACATCTGGTTAATGTAATGAAGGCCTTGTCACCATAGTAACCACAAGCTAACTATAACAATGCTTATACACTGTACCATCCGTGTCTGCAGAGAAAATAACCAAAATATATTGCACACTGTTTTTGCTCTCACAGATAATTCTAAAGATAATACATACATAACTTGGTTTACTTTGATTAGAATTCCACATGCTATGATGCAATATATAAAGAGAAATAGTTGCAATTTTTCATTTAATATCTCTCTCTTTCAAAAAAATAATTTGATCAGACTTTAAAACATTTTTTACTTCAGTGATAATGTATGCATTATTTCATTAGATATCACTTTTTCTGTAAAGATAACTCACTCATTAATTCTCTTACTAAACTTTATCATAATGAATGATAATTAACAATAAGACGGCATAGAAAATACATTCTGTGAAGATGTTAAATCACATAAAGAAAGTATCATTTCTGATAAGGTATTCATGAATTCACAGAAATAAATTAGCTCTATATGCCATGGAACCTTCTTAATTTCTTGAAGAAATATATCTATAATGACATGTTTTGGCTTGATGCAACAAGAAGAATTGTGTTAATTAATTGTACAGCCGGAATTCTCTTTAGTCCAAAATAGACAAGTTACACTATATAGGAACGTTAATTATGTATCATTACTGAAGAAATAGACCAAAATAGCTGGTTTATTTTTTATTTTTTTATTACTGAGGACTGAAATATCACCACAGCCATTGAAAGAAATGTGTTATATAATTATGGCAAACGAAGATGTGCAATTAAAAAAGGACTCTCATTAAATAAATATTTAAGTTACTTGATATCTTTATAACATGGGATTACATCTGAGATCAGTTTCTTTTACACTTGTGCAGTTGATATTGTTTACTTTGGCCAATCAGTAAGTTCTTTGGGCTTTAAAACATTTGTTGATTATGTCTAAAAATAGTGTTTGGTAAGTATAGAATCTGACAGATATGACTTGACAGCTTTAAGATGTTTGGATTGTCTACTTGATCAGGTGACAGACTTTGGCTTTGCCAAGAGAGTAAAAGGCCGCACCTGGACACTGTGTGGTACTCCTGAGTACCTGGCACCAGAAATCATCCTCAGCAAGGTAGGCCAACGCCCAACTTTAGCCTGCTGTCACCAGTATAACAGGATGTGGTAAAACCACTACATGTACTGAGAGACTTCTCATTATATAATGGTTATCCCGTAAAAAAATCCAACCCTGAGACTTCAAAATTAATTGCTTCTGCTTATAAATGTATGATTGTATATTTATTTTGGTTGTTTTGTGTTAGATTTTGGGATTGTTCTGGTATTTATATGATGAGTTATGATACAGCAAGGCCCTAATTTTACTTTAAAAGGCTCTAAAGAAAGCCTTGAATTTCATAATAAAATTCCTGTACAATACCTGATTGGATAAGGTTAAAACTAAGATGAAATGGCCCTATACTGCTTAAAATAATCTTCTTTTACAATTTTAAGCATATTATGATTAGTAGCAAAGAAAAATCTTGGGGTTACCTTTCTTGAGAGATCACTTATTTTAGTTGTTTCCAAAAGATGAGTGATTTTACTGTTTGTCAAAATTTTGAAATTGCAGTATTTTTGACAAAAGATTGCTATGATGATTTACTCTATTTCTCTTTATATTGCGAGGACCATATAGGATATTATATGAATTGATAATGTAATTTAATGTTAACTGTAAACACTCAACATAGTTTCAGAAGGGGTGGGTACACATGTATCTAACGTTATAGGAACATAAAGATGTTCATTGTTTTGAAATTTTAAGATCGCAATGTAATTTTGTGAAGTTCCATATAAATATATATGTTACAATACAATGCTTTTATAATCTAGTAAGTGTGTTGTGTTTTCCAGGGCTACAACAAAGCTGTGGACTGGTGGGCTTTAGGAGTTCTGGTGTATGAAATGGCAGCAGGCTATCCACCCTTTTTTGCTGACCAACCCATACAGATCTACGAAAAGATTGTCTCGGGCAAGGTAGGGATGGATTAGAATCAGATAGTGGAGTGTTACCATCATAATAAAAACAAGACTCTTCTGCAAAATGTTTGACAGGGTTAGAATTGTGTATTGTACTGGCCAGCATAAATATCAGTGGCTAAAATCTTCCAGTACAATTAGTCAATCCAATCATAAGCAACAGGCCATTCATAGAACTAATGAAAATATTGTGATGGTGGGAGGCCAATGTTCTTCTTTGATATCGTTTATTTCTTTTGGACAAATTCCTTTCACATTTATTACAACAGGGCAAAATGTTTATATCTTTAAACAAAATTATTTGGTAAGAACAGTTTGTAATTGTCAAAATTTCAAAGTTTTCAAAATACTTATTCCTAAACTTAAATATTGATGGCTGATTTTGAAAACAATTTGTTTTTCGATTGCCTGATATAAAGATACCAATAGAATAAAGTGCAGTGTCTTACCTTATTTATTTTTCAATCACAGGTACGGTTCCCCTCACACTTCAGCTCTGACCTGAAGGATCTATTGCGTAACCTGCTACAAGTGGACCTCACAAAAAGATACGGCAACCTGAAGAATGCCGTCAATGATATAAAAAATCACAGGTGGTTCCAATCCACAGACTGGATTGCCATCTACCAGAGGAAGGTGAGTGACAATGACCCAGAGACTTCAGACCCGACGTATTCATCTTCTAAGTTTTTTAGGGATACTAATAAAAATCTAGACTTAAAATTGACTTTTGGTATGGTTTATCTTTAATATCACAATCTTAATAATATGTGATACCCCCATATTTTCTAGATAGAAAAAATCATTTTGTGTTGATCTTTTGATTGTATCTGTATAGAGGAGATTTGATATATTTTATACAATATTTAATTTCAATTTTTGAAAAATCTGCAATAGTCAATTCACAAAGATTGATATTTCCTACTTAGGCAAGGTCCAATATAGGTACATCTCTTTGGGTAAAAGTCTTCGTTGACCCCTCTCATTGTAAATTCATACTTGTTTTGAACTGTCATTGTAAATTAATATTTGTTAGTTGCGCCGATTCAGTGTTAAGTTAGGTCTATGGGTATAACACTGTCGGTGTACACCAGCTATGTAAGTATTATTTATGGGTCTAACACTGTCAGTGTACACCAGCTATGTAAGTATTATTTATAGGTATAACACTGTCGGTGTACACCAGGTATGTAAGTATTATTTATGGGTATACCACTGTCAGTGTACACCAGCTATGTAAGGATTTCTGTGGTAACACTTTCGGTGTACACCAGCTATGTAAGTATTTCTGTGTTAACACTGTCGGTGGACACCAGCTATGTAAGTATTTCTGTGTTAACACTGTCGGTGTAGACCAGCTATGTAAGTATTTCTGTGTTAACACTGTCGGTGGACACCAGCTATGTAAGTATTTCTGTGTTAACACTGTCGGTGTACACCAGCTTTGTAAGTATTATTTATGGGTATAACACTGTCGGTGTACACCAGCTATGTTAGTATTATTTATGGGTATAACAATGTCGGTGTACACCAGCTATGTAAGTATTATTTATGGGTATAACACTGTCAGTGTACACCAGCTATGTAAGTATTTCTGTGTTAACACTGTCGGTGTACACCAGCTATGTAAGTATTTCTGTGTTAACATGTATCTTCCTACTCTAGGTGGATGCTCCTTTTGTACCTAAATGCAAAGGCCCTGGGGACGCAAGTAACTTCGACGATTACGAGGAGGAACCACTGAGAATATCATCGACAGAAAAGTGTGCAAAGGAGTTTGCGGACTTTTGAGGATGTAGGTAGAGGATAGTTAACCCCCATAGGTTGTTCTCATCAAGGCAAAGTGTTGTCATTGTCACCTGAACATCTCTGTGACAGATCTCATCAAGCATCGATAAATCCCACATGTGCAATACACGCAGTATGCAGCTTGAGCAGGGAGTGAACCAAGATTTGTTGTGACAAAAAGAGTTCAATATTTATGTTATACCAACAAAAATTCGCCAAATTATGTGTGTAGCCTGCAAAGAACAGACTGACTGATCAAATTATAATTTAATGTTTCATTGAGTTATTTGTGGACAAGTCTGTGATATTGGGTGTACCAGCCCAGTCAGACTGCACATGTGACAATGGCTGCCGATTGATGTGAACGCTTCAGTGCTGTTGGTCGTAGAAAGCACAAGGGCTAGATTTTTCGGCGCGAATGTAAACGGCATAGATCGTGACTGTACAAGTCCAGCAGACTTGAAGACAAGGAATACATATATGATACTACAAGCAAAGTGGCTGTGTCGGCAATCGTGATGGGAATGTTGGGCAAATTAAAACCTGTGCTGCATATGATCAAGTTAACATTGATCAGTGTTTGTTTTGAGCGATATGGATACATCCCCCTAGAATGTATATGACTCTTATTGTATTTTGTTATGGATGAAGCTGTACATAATATACAAGTTTTACATATTTCAGATGGATTTTTATACTGAATGAATGACTGTTTTAATAGAGTTCTGCTGTACTTAATAGGTGTTCACTAGTCTTATCGAGTAGTGACTTATTTTTTTTAATTAACACCTCTTTCCTGATGCCAATTTATTTGTGAAGTCTTGTCAAAACAAGGTGTTAAATAGAATGGTCTATCTGTGTTGGCTGTATCAACATGCTTCATTGTAAATGGTACTTGGCTCGAATTCGCTATATATATAAACACTTTTCCTGGCAACAACAAAAAGAGGGTACAATTGTCAAAACATGCAATAGCCTCAATAGAAAAAAAAAAACAAGTTTTGTTTTTCTTTTTAAAATGTCATTCGTATTTATGTTTTATAGTTTTTATTCAGGGCATTTGATTTGTAGAGTTAAAATATTTTTTAATATTGTTCATGAAATTCTACTTTCATATTTCGGTGGAAAATATTTATAATAATTGACACAAGACTTTCAACTTCAATTTCATTATTTGATGTTTCCAGCAAAAGAGTATGTGTGCAAAGTGAGTGTTTTAATTCAGCATGACTTATTTTTGTATCTCTTTGAATGTCAATTTTCATTGTCCCATCTGACTCTGAGCTGGTGCTGATATACATCGTGTTTGCCTGACTGCAGGTTTCAAATCTCTCAGAAGTATGAAACGGTGTAATGAGTAAAATAAAAGCCAATTCAGTCTCATCATCTATAATAAACATAGATCATTCTATTGTAACTCGTATAGTTATTACATTATACATAGCATCAATTTTTTTAACTAAATTAGAAAGTTTGAACATATATTGAAAAAAAGTTTTGTAAATTTTCACTTAATAACTTTCTTTCTTGGGCACTACTCCATGTTGTATGACGTTGACGTACATGGTGCTCACTGTAACATTTTGTTCATTAACAATGTGTAGACTGTTATCTGTCAGTTTTGTCATCATTAACTGCAAGTGTTGTTTTTTTTTTTTATCACATTCAGTTATTTTTATGTATATTTCATTGGAAAATTTGAATGCTGATTCAAAAAGGTCTAGAGCCAATTTCTTTGGACATATGATTTGGTAACCAAGCTGTAGCTATGGTAGAGTGTGTGGTCTTGCTGGAAACATTCAAGTGTTATACATGTTCAGTGCTGTGTTTATTGTATTGTCGCAGATCTGAATGAACGCCAAGTATCATTTTAATATCTAGTGGTTTTTTTGTCTAAAATAAGTTTTTAGCATATTGTGATATTTTCAAAATTCTACCAATTTTTGGTAGGTTGAAAATAGCCACAAGTGTAAAATTATTTCAATTGAAATATATATTATATATATAAATATTAATATTATTATTATGAAAGCATTTGTTTTAAGTTCAGAGTCATAATTAAGGTAATAATAAATATGAAAATTGCAGAATCTTGAGTTGTTTTTATTGTATGAAAAGTTTTGTTGGATGAGCACCTTTATTTACCAGTACATTTCACATACATCAACAAAGCTGGAGTTTGAAAAAAAGTTTTCAAAATTATAATATTCTGATACATTAATGCACAATACAATTAAGACAAATGAAAAAGTAATAGTATTAGGATTAATCCATAGAAAGATATTTTCATTTGCAGATATACTTATAGTATGTGTACATATAATGGAGTATGCAAAAAAAAAGCTATATTTTAATGTCAGAAATATAATGAATAAAAATTAAGCTAACACATGTTATTGCTGTGAATCAAATGAGCCATATTGGTTTTCTACAGTATATTTGGTATGACAAAGTACCAGTACATCACTTGGTCTAAAACTGGTTTAAGCTCATCAACAAGAAATTGTACCATAAGTGAAAAGGTAATCTGTAAATGACCAATCTGTTTTCCTAGGCCTTCACCATTTCTACCAGAGGGAACTACCAGGTACAAACAAGTTTACAGTCGGTTTGTCGAGGGAATATCTCGGGTACTGTCGACTATAATTATATTTAATGTGTGAGTACCTTTGGATGGCAGATTGTTGTGTACCAAGACGGGGTCTGGTTCCATGCCTAATTATAGCACCAGCCCTTTGTTTCATCACCATTACACACACACACCCCAACCACACACAAGATTAAGAAGTTCTGAGCCATTTGAGTGGCCTTTTCAGGTTTAAAGGTCACCGGTACTGGTAGTACAAGTAGAAAATTTAATTAGCACAACAATTCATTCACATTTTGATTGGCCGATCAGCTGGGATTGTTTTTCAGGTCAAAGTAACCTTTACTAAAAATAGAAAATTGGTCTCCATGCAATAACTCAACTCCCTGTTGGCCAGCAACACTCAACCATTATACAAGATCCATTTCAAAAGTGATTGCTTTGAAAATTGGTTTCTTCATACCCAACTTCATACTCTTTTTCCTTACACAAAATGGTTACTTGAAAATGCTTTTCTGGTTCAAAGGTCAAGTTTACTTAAATGTAAATGAAGCATTACATTCTGTACCATAGAAAATAGCGTCAATCTCAAAAACCATTTCCCTTGATTTAGCACTAAAGGGGGGTTAGTATTGCTCTCCGATACCTCAGCTTAATACTGAAGGTTGAGGTCGGGTAATAAGGATTGCTGTCAAATGTTTCTCTCTAAAAACTCCAGTAATGTGTTCCTAAGTGTATAATAAAATTATTTTTAAGTTTCATACTTGGAGTGACATTAAGATTTGATTGTGACCATAATTGAGCCTTCTAGACCAATGGATTCAAATCTATGTTGACACTAAGGGTGTGAGCCCTGAAACACCAACTTGTTTCCATGATATTAAAACTCGTAAAAGAACCATGCAAGGAAAGAATTCAATCTATTGTTTTGATCATGAAATTAGATAACTTGGAAATCGAACATTTTACTTTGTCACAAGTTCACGCACGAAATATTTGACATAGGGATATTCGCTTAATACTAGGGTAATAATGAGATGCTGCAGGTAGCAATTAAATCATCGAAGGGTGGCATTTGATCAAAAATTTTGATCTAGGAATTCAACAAATCCAGTGTGAGTACATTTACACACAAATTATTTGCACACAGAAGTTTAATGGCTTGCAGATATTGATACTGTGTAATGTTTCAAAAGAGCAAATTTCAATCTGTTACCACAAACAACTGGTATGTACGTCCACAAGGACATCTTTTACTGGCCCAGTGACATTTAAATGCAAAAGTGGCAAATCTTCTGGTGATACAATGGTTATAACAAGTTTTTCTGTTTTTCTAACGGCTTCAATTGATAATTTTAGCTGACCTCATTTCCTGTTTTATTGATAGATGAATGTCTACTTGTCGTGACAAATCTTTAAAAGTGCCCATGTTATGTTCATGCCATGATAGGCTTCTTACATATTAACCAAATCAACCAGAAGTCAATTTTTTATTTATCTGACCATGTACGCAATACTACATTTGTTATGGGTTTATGTCTTTCTAAAACTGTCAGAACTGACATGTGTTTAGCTCGAGATTGACACATCATAACAAAACTGAAGGGAGATGACTGTTCTCTGATGATAAATCCACATCATTACAAAGCTAGGCTGTAGGGAGGAGAGTTTTTTCTGGTGATAAATCCACATCATTACAAAGCTAGACTGTAGGGAGGAGAGTGTTTTCTGCTGATAAATCCACATCATTACAAAGCTAGGCTGTAGGGAGATAAGTGTTTTCTGTTGATAAATCCACATCATTACAAAGATAGACTGTAGGGAGGAGAGTGTTCTCTAATGATAAATCCACATCATTACAAAGCTAGACTGTAGGGAGGAGAGTGATTTCTGCTGATAAATCCACATCATTACAAACCTAGGCTGTAGGGAGGAGAGTGTTTTCTGCTGATAAATCCACATCATTACGAAGCTAGACTGAAGGGAGATTAGTGTTTTCTGCTGATAAATCCACATCATTACAAAGCTAGACTGTAGGGAGATTAGTGTTTTCTGATGATAAATCCACATCATTACAAACCTAGGCTGTAGGGAGGAGAGTGTTTTCTGATGATAAATCCACATCTTTACAAAGCTAGACTGTAGGGATGAGAGTGTTTTCTGATGATAAATCCACATCATTACAAAGCTAGGCTGTAGGGAGATAAGTGTTTTCTGTTGATAAATCCACATCATTACAAAGCTAGACTGTAGGGAGGAGAGTGTTTTCTGCTGATAAATCCACATCATTACAAAGCTAGACTGTAGGGAGGAGAGTGTTTTCTGCTGATAAATCCACATCATTACAAAGCTAGACTGTAGGGAGGAGAGTGTTTTCTGCTGATAAATCCACATCATTACAAAGCTAGACTGTAGGGAGGAGAGTGTTTTCTGCTGATAAATCCACATCATTACAAAGCTAGACTGTAGGGAGGAGAGTGTTTTCTGCTGATAAATCCACATCATTACAAAGCTAGACTGTAGGGAGGAGAGTGTTTTCTGCTGATAAATCCACATCATTACAAAGCTAGACTGTAGGGAGGAGAGTGTTTTCTGCTGATAAATCCACATCATTACAAAGCTAGACTGTAGGGAGGAGAGTGTTTTCTGCTGATAAATCCACATCATTACAAAGCTAGACTGTAGGGAGGAGAGTGTTTTCTGCTGATAAATCCACATCATTACAAAGCTAGACTGTAGGGAGGAGAGTGTTTTCTGCTGATAAATCCACATCATTACAAAGCTAGACTGTAGGGAGGAGAGTGTTTTCTGCTGATAAATCCACATCATTACAAAGCTAGACTGTAGGGAGGAGAGTGTTTTCTGCTGATAAATCCACATCATTACAAAGCTAGACTGTAGGGAGGAGAGTGTTTTCTGCTGATAAATCCACATCATTACAAAGCTAGACTGTAGGGAGGAGAGTGTTTTCTGCTGATAAATCCACATCATTACAAAGCTAGACTGTAGGGAGGAGAGTGTTTTCTGCTGATAAATCCACATCATTACAAAGCTAGACTGTAGGGAGGAGAGTGTTTTCTGCTGATAAATCCACATCATTACAAAGCTAGACTGTAGGGAGGAGAGTGTTTTCTGCTGATAAATCCACATCATTACAAAGCTAGACTGTAGGGAGGAGAGTGTTTTCTGCTGATAAATCCACATCATTACAAAGCTAGACTGTAGGGAGGAGAGTGTTTTCTGCTGATAAATCCACATCATTACAAAGCTAGACTGTAGGGAGGAGAGTGTTTTCTGCTGATAAATCCACATCATTACAAAGCTAGACTGTAGGGAGGAGAGTGTTTTCTGCTGATAAATCCACATCATTACAAAGCTAGACTGTAGGGAGGAGAGTGTTTTCTGCTGATAAATCCACATCATTACAAAGCTAGACTGTAGGGAGGAGAGTGTTTTCTGCTGATAAATCCACATCATTACAAAGCTAGACTGTAGGGAGGAGAGTGTTTTCTGCTGATAAATCCACATCATTACAAAGCTAGACTGTAGGGAGGAGAGTGTTTTCTGCTGATAAATCCACATCATTACAAAGCTAGACTGTAGGGAGGAGAGTGTTTTCTGCTGATAAATCCACATCATTACAAAGCTAGACTGTAGGGAGGAGAGTGTTTTCTGCTGATAAATCCACATCATTACAAAGCTAGACTGTAGGGAGGAGAGTGTTTTCTGCTGATAAATCCACATCATTACAAAGCTAGACTGTAGGGAGGAGAGTGTTTTCTGCTGATAAATCCACATCATTACAAAGCTAGACTGTAGGGAGGAGAGTGTTTTCTGCTGATAAATCCACATCATTACAAAGCTAGACTGTAGGGAGGAGAGTGTTTTCTGCTGATAAATCCACATCATTACAAAGCTAGACTGTAGGGAGGAGAGTGTTTTCTGCTGATAAATCCACATCATTACAAAGCTAGACTGTAGGGAGGAGAGTGTTTTCTGCTGATAAATCCACATCATTACAAAGCTAGACTGTAGGGAGGAGAGTGTTTTCTGCTGATAAATCCACATCATTACAAAGCTAGACTGTAGATAGGTTGAACACAGGATGTAGATGTTGAGTTGGTGTGTTTGGACCTGAAATAGGGAGATTGGTAAATTTTGGTCAAAATGAGGAAGTCTCCCGGGATGTTTGACAGCTATGAAACACCTGTCTGTGTATAGATCTATAAACACAACTTCATATATTATACAGTAAAACATCGAGTTAAAATGTTTTCTGTTTATATACAGGTATAGGGATGGTAACAGTGACATCCAGTAACTCCAGCTAGGTGTAAACGTGACGTCCAGTAACTCCAGCTAGGTGTAAACGTGACGTCCAGTAACTCCAGCTAGCTGTAAACGTAACGTCCAGTAACTCCAGCTAGCTGTCAACATGACGTCCAGTATCTCCAGCTAGCTGTCAACATGACGTCCAGTAACTCGTGCTTGCTGTCAACATGACGTCCAGTAACTCCAGCTAGCTGTAAACATGACATGCAGTTACTCCAGCTAGCTGTCAACATGATGTCCAGTAACTCCAGCTAGCTGTAAACATGATGTCCAGTAACTCCAGCTAGCTGTAAACACGACATGCAGTTACTCCAGCTAGCTGTAAACATGACGTCCAGTATCTCCAGCTAGCTGTCAACATGACGTCCAGTATCTCCAGCTAGCTGTAAACATGTCGTCCAGTAACTCCAGCTAGCTGTAAACGTGACGTCCAGTATCTCCAGCTAGCTGTCAACATGATGTCCAGTAACTCCAGCTAGCTGTCAAGATGACGTCCAGTATCTCCAGCTAGCTGTAAACATGCCGTCCAGTATCTCCAGCTAGCTGTAAACATGACGTCCAGTATCTCCAGCTAGCTGTCAACATGATGTCCAGTAACTCCAGCTAGCTGTCAACATGCCGTCCAGTATCTCCAGCTAGCTGTAAACATGACGTCCAGTATCTCCAGCTAGCTGTCAACATGACGTCCAGTATCTCCCGCTAGCTGTAAACGTGATGTCCAGTAACTCCAGCTAGCTATCAACATGACGTCCAGTAACTCCAGCTAGCTGTCAACATGACGTCCAGTAACTCCAGCTAGCTGTAAACGTGACGTCCAGTATCTCCAGCTAGCTGTCAACATGTCGTCCAGTAACTCCAGCTAGCTGTCAACATGACGTCCAGTAACTCCAGCTAGCTGTAAACATGACATCCAGTAACTCCAGCTATTTGTGAACAAAATATTGTGATCCGAAGTCTTGTAGATTTTACTTAGAAATTGTTAAAAAGAACAACAGGGCCTGCTTCATAAGAACCTATTAAAAGATTTTAACATATTATGCCTGTGACCTTGAATGTCGAACAAGGACATTAGGTTGAAAGTGGGTCAAGGTCATTCATTTGAACAAACTTGGTAGCCCTGCATCCCAGCATGCTACAGGCCCAATATCGGTACCCTGGGCCTTTTGGTTATTGAGAAGAAGTCGTTTGAAGATTTTAAAATATTTGACCCCTGTAACCTTGAAAGTGGGTCAAAGTTGATGCCGGCCGCACCATGTTGATGATGACTACCAGGTCGACTCCTCACAACAATTCTGCTCACTAGTCACGCTTCCTACTTGTGAGTTGTTTTACTTTTAATACTAATAGAAGCGTTCCTAGTACTCTAACTACATGTGGACATTATGTCTGGTTCTGGTAGTTCATATGGTACTCTACGAAGAATTAGGTACAAAAGCAATTAAGGGCTCTCAAACGAAAAAAGGCAAAGTTACACTGCATAGTCTAAAATAAGGTTGCTAAGTACCGGCTGGTATATGAAAGAATAACAACATTGGTCTGTGTCTGACTTTTCTGACTGTTAGTTAATAGCAACTTCCACTAAAACAATGTCGGTAATATGAACCAATTTTTCATGCTTACAGATCTTGAGAATTTCTACCGTTTAGTTGTGTTCTTGGATTTGAAAAAAACATCACATAGCCTGCACTTTTCATAGTTTTATGTAAACTTTTCACTCTATTGCCCGCTTCATCAGACAGTCCCTAGAAGGCATCATAAAGTCTGCAGACAATACACAAGAAATTTTGGTAACAAAGAACAATAAACTCAGTACAAAGTACACATTAATAGCATTTTATTTCTTTCATTTCTTGCTTTCTTCTGTAACATAAAATAGTCAAAGTAAGGAATTTCATAAATCATCATAAAAAAAATCTCCGATCAGCAACTCCATTATTCAGAAGAAAGTTAACAAAAATATACATATTTTTGTCATTTCTAAAAAAAGTCCTAACTAAAGAGGGAGAAGATTCATAGGTACAGAAAATAAAGTCTCTGGGTACAAAGTACAAACCAAATAATTATTCAAACCCTTTAGGACAATGAGTAGGGTTCTCACTACGTTTTAAGTCGGTAACTGATGTGGTACACTTGCACCTCTCAAAAAGGAACCCCCTCAAAAGGAATATATTTTCAAACCGCATGAGAAGCAGAAAAGATTTTTTTAGGACTATAGATATTGTTCAAATAAGCCATTATTTCTTAAATATATATTCATTTTGATGTTGCATATGTCTTGTCACTATATACAAAATGAATAATCTGGTTACAAAGAAACAAAATTTCAGCCTAGATTCTCGATAGCAGTTATATTATTAAACAGACACAGCATAGCCCCATACTGTCAACAGCATACCTCCATACTGGTCACAGCATAGGTCCATATTGGTCACAGCATAGCCCCAAACTGGTCACAGCATAGCTCCTTATCAGTCACTGCATAGCCCCATACTGGTCACAGTAAATCCCCATACTGTCATCAACATAGCTCCATACTGGTCACAGCATAGCCCAATACTGGTCACAGCATAGCTCCATACTGGTCACAGCATAGCCCAATACTGGTCACAGCATAAATAGCTCCATACTGATCACAGCATAGCCCCATACTGGTCACAGCATAGCCCCATACTGGTCACAGCATAGCTCCATACTGGTCACAGCATAGCCCAATACTGGTCACAGCATAGCTCCATACTGGTCACAGCATAGCCCAATACTGGTCACAGCATAGCTCCATACTGGTCACAGCATAGCCCCATACTGGTTATTTCAAGTATCTAGTATTACATGTAGGTTTTTTATTTGTACCAGTTGCAGGATAAGCATTCATTGCATCAAATGTTACAGCAACGTTTTGTACCAGTTATAATCACAGTAAAGTATTCTTACCAGAGTACCGGGGTAAGCAGCTTTGTATATTTAATCACATATATTTGTATCAGATTCAGAATAAAAACTTTGCCTGTTATAGAATACACCTCCTGTTAGAGTTGGCTGTTATAGAATACACCTCCTGTTGGAGTTGCCTGATATAGAATACACCTCCTGTTAGAGTTGGCAGTCAGTTACCAATCACACTTAACATTTCACGAGATACAACTTAGTTTTTATAAAAATGTTTTAATAGACACCTAAGCATGTATCAGGCTCTTGTTTCATGAATATCATATAAATATTTCCCCTTAACTTATTTTACTCATAGGGAAAGCATTGCTCCAGTTTTAGAAAATTCTTAAGCTAATTAACATGACACATGTACACTAATAAAGCTGGAGCCAGCTACAGAAACCAAAGAAACATGTAAGGACCTGGTAGTCATGCACAGGACCCCTATATTAGAGTACTAGTAGTCATGCACAGGACCTCTATATTAGAGTACTAGTAGGCAATGTAAAGGACCTCTATATTAGAGTACTGGTAGTCATGCACAGGACCTCTATATTAGAGTACTAGTAGGCAATGTACAGGACCTCTATATTAGAGTACTAGTAGTCATGCACAGGACCTCTATATTAGAGTACTGGTAGTCATGCACAGGACCTCTATATTAGAGTACTAGTAGTCAATGCACAGGACCTCTATATTAGAGTACTGGTAGTCATGCATAGGACCTCTATATTAGAGTACTAGTAGTCAATGCACAGGACCTCTATATTAGAGTACTAGAAGTCATACACAGGACCTCTATATTAGAGTACTAGTAGTCAATGCACCGGACCTCTATATTAGAGTACTGATAGGCATGCACATGACCTCTATATGAGAGTACTAGTAGGCAATGTACAGGACCTCTATATTAGAGTACTAGAAGTCATACACAGGACCTCTATATTATAGTACTAGTAGTCAATGCACAGGACCTCTATGTTAGAGTACTGATAGTCAATGCACAGGACCTCTATATTAGAGTACTAGTAGTCATGCACAGGACCTCTATATTTGAATACTGGTAGTCATGCACAGGACCTCTATATTAGAGTACTGATAGTCATGCACATGACCTCTATATGAGAGTACTAGTAGGCAATGTACAGGACCTCTATATTAGAGTACTAGTAGTGATGCACAGGACCTCTATATTAGAGTACTAGTAGTCAATGCACAGGACCTCTATATTAGAGTACTGATAGTCATGCACAGGACCTCTATATTAGAGTACTGGTAGTCATGCACAGGACCTCTATATTAGAGTACTAGTAGTCATGCACAGGACCTCTATATTAGAGTACTAGTAGTAATGCACAGGACCTCTATATTAGAGTACTGGTAGTCATGCACAGGACCTCTATATTAGAGTACTAGTAGGCAATGCACAGGACCTCTATATTAGAGTACTAGTAGTCAATGCACAGGACCTCTATATTAGAGTACTGATAGTCATGCACAGGACCTCTATATTAGAGTACTAGTAGTCATGCACAGGACCTCTATATTAGAGTACTGGTAGTCATGCACAGGACCTCTATATTAGAGTACTAGTAGGCAATGTACAGGACCTCTATATTAGAGTACTAGTAGTCAATGCACAGGACCTCTATATTAGAGTACTGATAGTCATGCACAGGACCTCTATATTAGAGTACTAGTAGTCATGCACAGGACCTCTATATTAGAGTACTGGTAGTCATGCACAGGACCTCTATATTAGAGTACTAGTAGGCAATGTACAGGACCTCTATATTAGAGTACTAGTAGTCAATGCACAGGACCTCTATATTAGAGTACTGATAGTCATGCACAGGACCTCTATATTAGAGTACTAGTAGTAAATGTAAAGGACCTCTATATTAGAGTACTGGTTGGACTCTACATTGAAGTTAAGGGTAACAGCTAGCAGTACAGGTACATATCATAAACAGACAAATTTGAACTATTTCCTTTATCAAAGCAAAGTGAAATTTCCCCATGGTTTGTTTTGTTTTTATAACTCGTACAGCACTTACAACATATATTTGGGATACACAAATTAAAAGCAACATTTGTTAACTCAATTTACCTCAACAAATATCTGAATGTGGTTTTAATAAATACTTATCAAAATCTGTAACAACAGAGGTGTATAAGAACCGGACATTGCATATGGTGAGTAAAATATAGACAGTAGTATCTCACTCCTAGTGGCCAGTTCATATAGTGAGTAAAATATAGACAGTAGTCTCTAACTCCTAGTGGCCAGTTCATATAGTGAGTAAAATATAGCCAGTAGTCTCTCACTCCTAGTGGCAATTTCATATAGTGAGTAAAATATAGACAGTAGTATCTCACTCCTAGTGGCCAGTTCATATAGTGAGTAAAATATGGACAGTAGTCTCTCACTCCTAGTGGCCAGTTCATATTGTGAGTAAAATATAGACAGTAGTCTCTCACTCCTAGTGGCCAGTTCACTGCTGTTCATATATACATTGAATAGTGTTTCCTTGCAGAGGTTGTCAACAGAATTTCAGTGGATTCTGTCAGAACAGAGTCAATGTTGACACAGGTCTATCATTTGCCCATTTCATCAACAGGTTTCACATGTCAGTTCACCAGGGTTTACCTTAGTCATCTGTCGTATGGAGTTTTCTTATAAAGTCAAGGTCAATGGTGTAACATCGGCAGCCAAGGAGAGTTTATATCACAGCACTGAACATATACTGCCTTCTTTCTGTGAACGGACTTGACCTCAAACAGCACTCCCTTAATGTCCCCTTGACCTCACAGTGCACTCACCTGACCCCAAAGTGAACTCACTTGACCAAAGTCTGTACAACACGTTTACCTATAACTTCTAAATTCTGCACAGTGTAACATCAACCTTTCTGGATTAAACAACCTCTACCATGTGATAACGGAAGTCCCATCCCAACTTGACCTTTAACATGTTAAAGTAGTCTGAATCACGAAGAACCATTAAGAAATCCACTTTTGACCCCTGACAAAGTCTTTGTTCCTTCACAAGCTGACCAGGAAAGTGAGCACAGTCCAGAAGACAAACATTAGTAGGTCAAGAGTTTGGCTTCTTGTCTTCCTCCTCTGTAGACATGTGTGTGTCTGTCTGACTGTCCGTTGGTGCAGTTGTCTTGACCGATGTGTCCGTCTCCATGTCTGACTTATTTCCGTTGGTGTCCATGTCCAATGCTGATCCGGTTCCCTCGTGAGTCTCTAGCTCCATCAGCAGGGCGTTGGCATCGTCTAGGGTAGACTGAAATTATAGAATGTGCATACAGATATATAGAAAGCAATCAAATCAGGAACACTGGAGAGCGAAATTAGCACTGGACAAATATAGCAATCACACGTGAGGGAGAAATTAGCACTGGACAAATATAGAAATCACACGTGAGGGCGAAATTAGCACTGGACAAATATAGCAATCACATGTGAAGGCAAAATTAGCACTGGACAAATATAGCAATCACACATTAGGGCAAAATTAGCACTGGACAAATATAGCAATCACACGTGAAGGCGAAATAAGCACTGGACAAATATAGCAATCACACATTAGGGCGAAATTAGCACTGGACAAATATAGCAATCACACATTAGGGCAAAATTAGCACTGGACAAATATAGCAATCACACGTGAGGGCAAAATTAGCAATGGACAAATATAGCAATCACACGTGAGGGAGAAATTAGCACTGGACAAATATAGCAATCACACGTGAGGGCGAAATTAGCACTGAACAAATATAGAAATCACACGTGAGGGCAAAATTAGCACTGGACAAATATAGCAATCACACGTGAAGGCAAAATTAGCACTGGACAAATATAGCAATCACACGTGAGGGCAAAATCAGCACTGGACAAATATAGAAATCACACGTGACGGCAAAATTAGCAATGGACAAATATAGCAATCACACGTGAGAGCGAAATTAGCAATGGACAAATATAGCAATCACACGTGAGAGCGAAATTAGCACTTGACAAATATAGCAATCACAAGTGAGGGAGAAATTAGCACTGGACAAATATAGCAATCACACGTGAGAGCGATAAATTAGCAATGGACAAATATAGCAATCACACGTGAGGGAGAAGTTAGCACTGGACAAATATAGCAATCACACGTGAGAGCGAAATTAGAACTGGACAAATATAGCAATCACACGTGATGGCAAAATTAGCACTGGACAAATATAGCAATCACACGCGATGGCAAAATTAGCACTGGACAAATATAGCAATCACACGTGATGGCAAAATTAGCACTGGACAAATATAGCAATCACACGTGAGGGCGAAATTAGCACTGGACAAATATAGCAATAACACGTGAAGGACGAAATTAGCACTGGACAAATATAGATTTTACTGGAGTATGACAAAAGAATATAGTAAAGAAATTGAAGAACATACAGATAGTAGGGATTCAGGGTTAATTTGAACATATGACTAACCTGTGCACTGATTGTTCGCTGGAATGACTTGCGATTAGAATCCTCATTCGACACAGTTGAGGTGGAGGAAGGATTCCAATAATACTCAGACATCTGGAAAACATCCATAACAAATCAACACATAAACAAAAAGTCTGGAAAACAACCATGACAAATCAATAAACACATAAACAAAAAGTCTGGAAAACATCCATGACAAATCAACAAAAATAAACAAAAAGCATTTTGATCGGGCTTTCAAATGATCTTTGACAATTAGCAATTTCAGGAGGTCAAATGGGTTGTGAGAGGTCAAACACATACACGTTATTGTAAATACTACTCCCACTGCTGTTTATTACACAGGCTGGGAGTGGCAAACACATACAAGTTATGGTAGACATCACTCCCACTGCTGTTAATTACATAGGTTGGTAGTGGTCAAACACATACATGTTATGGTAGATATCACTCCAACTGCTGTTTATAACATCGATTTGGGAGTGGTCAAACACATACATGCTATGGTAGATATCACTCCCATTGCTGTTTATTACACAGGTCGGGAGTGGTCAAACACATGCATGTTATGGTAGATATCACTCCCACTGCTGTTTATTACACAGCTGGGGAGTGGTCAAACACATACATGTTATGGTAGATACTATTCCCACTGCTGTTTATTACATCGGTTTGGGAGTGGTCAAACACATACATGTTATGGTAGATATCACTCCCACTGCTGTTTATTACACAGGTCGGGAGTGGTCAAACACAAACATGTTATGATAGATATCACTTCCACTGATGTTTATTACACAGGTCGGGAGTGGTCAAACACATACATGTTATGGTCGATATCACTCCCACTGCTGTTTATTACACAGCTGGGGAGTGGTCAAACACATACATGTTATGGTAGATATCACTCCCACTGCTGTTTATTACAAAGGTTGTGAGAGGTCAAACACATACATGTTATGGTAGATATCACCCCCATTGCTGTTTATTACACAGGTCAGGAGTGGTAAAACACATACATGTTATGGAAGATATCACTCCCACTGCTGTTTATTACAGGTCAAACACATACATGTTATAGTAGACATCACTCCCACTGCTGTTTATTACAAAGGTTGGGAGAGGTCAAACACATACATGTTATGGTAGACATCACTCCCACTGCTGTTTATTACATGGATTTGGGAGTGGTCAAACACATACATGTTATGGTAGATACTACTCCCACTGCTGTTTATTACACAGGTTGGGTGTGGTCAAACACATACATGTTATGGTAGATATCACTCCCACTGCTGTTTATTACACAGGTTGGGAGTGGTCAAACACATACATGTTATGGTAGATATCACTCCCACTGCTGTTTATTACACAGGTTGGGAGTGGTCAAACACATACATGTTATGGTAGATATCACTCCCACTGCTGTTTATTACACAGGTTGGGAGTGGTCAAACACATACATGTTATGGTAGATATCACTCCCACTGCTGTTTATTACACAGGTTGGGAGTGGTCAAACACATACATGTTATGGTAGATATCACTCCCACTGCTGTTTATTACACAGGTTGGGAGTGGTCAAACACATACATGTTATGGTAGATATCACTCCCACTGCTGTTTATTACACAGGTTGGGAGTGGTCAAACACATACATGTTATGGTAGATATCACTCCCACTGCTGTTTATTACACAGGTTGGGAGTGGTCAAACACATACATGTTATGGTAGATATCACTCCCACTGCTGTTTATTACACAGGTTGGGAGTGGTCAAACACATACATGTTATGGTAGATATCACTCCCACTGCTGTTTATTACACAGGTCGGGAGTGGTCAAACACATACATGTTATGGTAGACATCACTCCCACTGCTGTTTATTACACAGGTTGGGAGTGGTCAAACACATACATGTTATGGTAGATATCACTCCCACTGCTGTTTATTACACAGGTCGGGAGTGGTCAAACACATACACGTTATGGTAGACATCACTCCCACTGCTGTTTATTACACAGGTCGGGAGTGGTTAAACACATACACGTTATGGTAGACATCACTCCCACTGCTGTTTATTACACAGGTCGGGAGTGGTTAAACACATACATGTTATGGTAGATATCACTCCCACTGCTGTTTATTACATGGGTTGTGAGAGGTCAAACACATACACGTTATGGTAGATATCACTTCCACTGCTGTTTATTACATGGGTTGTGAATGGTCAAACACAGACACTCTATGGTAGATACT